ATGATTTTTTGTTTTTGTTTTTTTTTTTGCCATCTCTATATTAAATCTACCCAATTTTTCTTGGGTTGTTTGTTTTCTTACTGTTGAGTTTTAAGAGTTCTTTAAATATTTTGGACACAGGATCTTTGTTGAATATGTGACTTCCAAATATTTTCTCCTAGTCTGTGGCTTGTCTTTTCATTCTCTTAACCTTAGTTTTCTCAGAGCAAAAGTTTTCAATTTTAATGGAGTACAATTTATCAATATTTTCTTTTATGAATTGTGCTTTTGGTGTTATTCCCAAGAACTTTAATCCAAGATCACGAAGATTTTCTCCTATGTTTACTTCTAGAAGTTTTATAGGTTTAAGTTCTACATTTAGATCTATGATCCATTTTGAGTTAATTTTGTATCACATCTGAACTTTAGGTTGAAGTTCATTTTTCTGCACATGGATGTCCAGTTGTCCCAAATCATATATTGAAAAGATTACTTCCTACACTGAATGATCTTTGCACCTTTGTCAAAATCAACTGAACCTATTTGTGTGGTTCTATTGCTGGATTCTCCATACTGTTTCATTGATCTGTGTGTCTATCCCTTCATCGATGCCATACTGTCTTGCTGTCTGTCGTGCTTTATACGGCAAGTCTCAAAATTGAGTGGTGTGCTTCCTCTCACATTATTCTTCTTTTGCAAAATTGTCTTAAATATTCTAGTTCCTTTGTCTTTCCATTTAAGTTTTAGAACCAGCATGTTGATGTCTACAAGAAATCCTGAATTGAATTAAATTTTTACATTAATTTGTGAAGAACTGACATGTTAACTATAGGGTCTTCCAATACATAAACACAGTATGTCTCTCTACTTGTTCAGGTCTTCCTTGATTTCCTTCATCAGCATTTTGTAGTTTTCAGCATATAAATCCTACATATATTTCGTTAGATTTATACCTGAGTATTTAATTTGGAACTACTGTAAATGGTATTGTTTTTCTAGTTTCAGCTACCAATTATTCATTATTAGTCTATAGAAATATGATTGATTTTTGGCTGTCTACCTTGTATTCTACAACCCTGCTAAACTCATTTATTAGTTCTAGAAACTTTTTCGTAGGTTCCTTGGGATTTTCTAGGTAGATAAGAAATCATCTCATCTGAATGTGGATGGGTTTATTTCTTCCTTTCCAAGCTCTATGCCTTTTACTTATTTTTCTTGCCTTATGGCACCTGTTAGAATTTCCAGTGTGATGCTGAATAGGAGTGGTAAGAGTGGACATCCTAGTCTTGTTCCCAATCTGAGGACAAAAGCAGTCTTTCATAATTAAGGGTGATGTTAGCTGTTGGTTCTCTAAAGATATCCTTTATCAGGTTAAGGAAGTCCCATTTATTGTAGTTTGCTAAGGTTTTTTCTTTTCTTTTTTTTCATTACTATATTTATCATTACACAATGTAATCATTTTTTGTGGCCCTTTACCAATTTCTTGCTAACCCCTTATTTTTTCTTTTTTATCATGAATGAATGTTGAATTTTGTTGAAATGCTTTTTCTACATTAACTGATATAGTTTTTCTTTTTTAGTCTGTTAACATAATAGATCATATTAACTGGTTTTCAATTACTGAATCAGCCTTGCATATCTGGAAACCCCACTTGGTTGTATCATATTTTTCTTTTTACGTAATATTTAATTCAATCTGTTTAACATTTGGTAAGGATTTGTCTTGTTCACAAGGGTTATTTTTTTGTGCTGGGTTTGGTATCAAGATAATACTGGCCTCATAAAATGAGTTGAGAAGTGTTCCCTCTCCTTCTATTTTCTAAAAGATATCATGAAGAACTGATATTATTTCTTCTTTAAATGTTTGGTAGAATAGTCTCATTTCATGTGTAAAACTTGAAATGTGAATTCCAAACACCTAAAAATACTGATTAAGAGTAATAATTGTAAAGGTAGTGGACCATGTGCGTCATAAACTATATTTACTGAACATATGGCAACATCACTTCTGCCAGTTCACAGAAATATTCACCATCTGGGCCTGAGGCTTTAATGGAATGTTTTCAAGTATAAATTCAAATCCTTTAAAACATAGTTACACATTTATATTATCTCTTTCTTCTGCAGTGGGTTTGGGTAGTTTGTGGTTTTTAAGGAATTAGTCCATTTTATCTAAGTTGTCCAATTTATGTGCACAGAGTTTTTATATTATTTTTTAATTATCCTGTAATGTCTGTGAGGTTTTTAGTAATGTCCCCATCTTTGTACTCTTTGCTTTTTTTGTCAGTCTGGCTAGACATTAATCAATTTTATTGGTCTTTTAGAAGAATCAATGATTGATTTCATTGATTCATTTTGATTTCATTGATTTTTCTCTACTATTTTCCTCTTTCAATTTCATTAATTTTTGCTCTTATTCAAATTTATTTTGCTCATCTTTTTCTAATATCTTCAGAGGAAAGCTTAGTGATTTGAGACCTTTTTTCTTTTCTAAGGTAAGAATTTAATGTTACAAAATTTCCTCTAAGCATTGCTTTAGCTGCATCCCACTGATTTTGATATGTTATATTTTCATTTTCATTTCGTTGAAAATATTTTCTAATTTCCCTTGAGCCTTCCTCTTCGACCCATGGATTATTTAGAAGAGTGTTCAATTTCCAAGCATTTCACTTGAGTGTTTTCCAGTTTTATTTTTATTATCTATCATTTAATTCCATTATACTCAGAAAATATACTTTGTAGGATTTAAATTCTTTTAGATTTGCTAAGGTTTGTTTTATGACCCAGGATATGATCTATCTTGGAGGATGTTCAATGTATACTTGAAAAGAATGTGCATTCTTGCTAAGGGGCCACCCAGAGTCCTGAGGCATAGAGCCAGGGACTGACCCTTCCTCCCACAACCAGGCAACAAACACGCCAAAAACACCACGTCCCTGTGGGTGGCCCACCACATCCACTACAATAGCTATGGCTGCTACAAAAGTGGCTAGAGGTCACAACCATCATGCAGGGGGCCTGACAGCCACTTGAGTGCATTGACACAAGGATAGTCACCAGCGGAGACTGAAGAAAGGAAGAGGATGTCTCTCTCCACAAATCCCATTCCTGAGTGACAGAAGAAGCATCTACTCTATGATAATAGTGGGGGACATGAACACACCTCTCTCAGCACTGGACAGATCATCTAGGCAACAAATCAAGAGAGTAACCGTTACTCTTTCAGAAGGAGAAAAGAAATCTAGGGTTATCAGAAGTGGGAGGAGGGAGGGAGAGGGGGATGGGGAGAGATTTGATAAGACGCATAAAGAATAAGTACAATTTGTAATAATGTATATGCTAATAAAATTGATTTGACCAACATACAACAATGTTGAGCCCCCAAAATATGTATAATTAATTATGATTCAATAAAAAATTTAAAAATTTAAAAAGAAAATAATGTGTGTTCTGATGTTGTTGAGAAGGGTATTCTATATGTCAACTAGATCCAGTTAGTTTTTGGTTTGGTTCAGTTCTATATCCTTACTGATTTTCCATCTACTAGCTCTATCTATTTCTAAAAGAGGAGTATTGAATCTCCAACAATAATCAATTTGACTTTTTCTCCTTTCAGTTCTATCAGTTTGCTTCATGTATTTTGAAGCTCTGTTGCTGGGTGTATACACTTAGAATTGTATGTCTTCTTGGAGAATTGTCTCTTTTATCATCATGTTAGGTCCCTCTCTGTCCCTGCTAATTTTCCTTGCTCTGAAGTCTACTTTGATATTAACATAGCCACTATAGCTTTCTTTTACTTACTGTTTGCATAATATATCTTTTTTACACCTTTTGGTGTTTAACTTGCTTATATCATTTTATTTAAAGTGGGTTTCTTGAAGATAGCATATAGTTAGGTCTTGTTTTTTTTGTTTTGTTTTAGATCCATTCTGACAATCTCTGCTTGTAATTGGCATGTTTATATCATTAACATTTAATGTAATTATTGATATGTATAGATTTAGGTCTATCATTTTATTATTTATTCTGTTTGGTCCTCAGTTTCTTATTATCCCATTTCCTCTTTTAAAAAATATTTTGAATAAAAATACTTTTGATTATTTGAGTAATTTTTAACATTCCATTTTAATTTATCTCTAAGCATTTGACCTGATACCTTTGTATAGTCTTTTTTTTTTAAGTGTTGTGCTAGCGATTATAATATACTTAACTTTTCAGTCTACTTAGAAATACTATTTTACCATTTCAAGTAGAAAGTAGAAATCTTACCATCATATTTCTTTTACCCTTTCCCATTTTATGTTGTAGTTGTCAAATGCATTACATTGACATATGCTGAAAACCCCACCAGATGATGTTATAACTTTTGCTTTCAACTATCATACATATTTTAAAGAACATAAGAGAAAAACATATTATACAGTATTACACAGATACTTATCATTTCTGTTGCTCTTCTTTTTTCCTGAAGTTCCAAGATTCTCTGTGGTATCATTTCCCTCCCACCCAAAGAACTTTCTCTAACATTTCTGTTAGAGCAACTAATTCCCTTATTTTTCTTCATCTTAGGATGCCTTTATTTTGCCTTCATTCTGAAGGTTATTTTCACTGGATACAGAGTTTTGGGTTGACAGTTCTTTTCTTTCTACTTTAAAAATATAGTTTCATTTCCTTCTCATCTCCATGGTTTCTGATGAGAAATGCACCATCATTCAAATTATTATTTTTCTACTTATTACACGTCTTTTTTTTTTTTCCTGGCTGTTTTCAAGATATTTTCTTCAATTTTAGTTTTCAGCAGTTTTATTTTTATTTATTTATTTTTTTTGTCCTTTTTGAGACTGGCCGCACCACGCTCAGCCAGTGAGCGCTGTGAACGCACTGGTCATCCCTATATAGGATCCGAACCTGCGGTGGGAGTGCCACTGCACTCCCAGCACCGCACTCTCCCGAGTGCGCCACGGGCTCGGCCCACAGCAGTTTTATTTTGATGTGTCTTGAGTGTACAATTCTTTGAGTTTATCATCTTTGGCATTTGCTGAACTTCTTGAATCTATTAAGTTTGTGTCTTTCAACCAACTTAGAGAATTCTTTTGCCAATATTTCTTCAAATATTTTTTCTGTATACCACACTCTTTCTCATCTCTTTCTGGGAGTCCAGTGATACAAATATCAGATATTTTGGTATTGTCCCACAGGTCCCTGATGCTCTTTTCAGCTTTTTCCCTCCCACTCCTTTATCTTTCTGTTGCTCAAACTGAATAATTTTTAGTGATTTATTTTAAATTCAGACTTTTCTTTGTCATCTCTATTCTGCTATTAAGCTCATCCAGTGAGTTTTAAAATTTTAGTTACTACATTTTTTTAGTTCTGCCATTCCTATTTGGTTCTTTTCTTTATTTTCTATTTCTCTGCAGGGACTTTCTATATTTCTGTTTGTTTCAAGAATGTTTACTCTTACTTCTTAGAGCATGGTCTTACTAGCTGCTTTAAAATCTTTTTTTTTTTTTTTTTTTTGTGGCTGGCCAGCACAGGGATTGAACCCTGGACCTTGGTGTTATCAGCACCATGCTTAAAATCTTTGTCTAATAATTCCAACATCTGTGTCATCTTGGGGTAGGTGTCTGTTGATTGCTTTCCCATTGCAAGCCCATGATTTTTTTCCCTGGTTCTTCATATGTTGAGTCACTATGGATGGTATCCTGGACATTTTGTATATTATGTTGTGTCTCTCTGGGTCTTCTTTAAACTCTATGGAGAATGTTAGGAATTTTGGTTTACCAGGCAACTGATCAGGTTAGGTTCTGCCTCCTGGGCAGGTGGTGTGAGAATAGAGAAAAAAAGAAAAGCAATCAGGATTCCTGTCATTCCCCTCATCAGACATTTAGGCACCTGTGCTGCCACTGTTGTTGTTGCTATTGCAGCCACAGGCTTGCCTAGGGCTGGGATGAGAGAATGGAAAAAGGGAGGAGGAGGAGAAAAAAACCCCAAAGGAATCCCCCTACTCTCTGTCATGTAGGAGTCCCATTTCCTGCTCCTCAGACCAGAAAGAGAAGGCTTCTTTGCATCTGTTATGTACTTCCATGTTGTTGACACGATATCAGAAGCAAAATAAACAGGACACTCACCAGCAGCTAGATGGCACTTTGAGTTCCCTAATCGACCAGCTAGAAGTTATTTTCAGACTCCTTAGATAACTACTCCAAATATTTGGTCCAGGACTTTAGATCTATTCAGCAGGAGAGACAGGGTGGGGTTTGCTTACTCCATTTCACCTAGAACTGGAATCATACCAGGGGCTTTTTACTCTACTGTACAACCAGTATGGAGAACCACTGTGTACATGTGTGTGGATATTATGTATCAGGGGAAACTTTTCTTTTTTAAAGATGACTGGTAAGGGGATCCTAACCCTTGACTTGGCGTTGTCAGCACCACGCTCTCCCAAGAGAGCCAACCAGCCATCCCTATATAGGGATCCGAACCCATGGCCTTGGTGTTATCAGCACCACACTCTCCCAAGTGAGCCACAGGCTGGCCCTGGTGGTAACTTTTTCTATAAAGGGCTGAACAGTAAATATTTTAGGCTTTGTGGCCATATGGCCTCTGATGCAACTACTCAATCTATTCAACTCTGCTGCTGTTGTGTGAAAGCAGCCATACACAAGATGTAAATGAGTAGGCATTGCTATCATGCAATAAAACTTTATTTAATAAAACAGGTGATAAGCTGGATTTGGCTCACAAACCATGGTTTGCTGATCTCTGTTCCATATCACAAGTAGCAAAGTTGGCTAATGGCAAAGTTCACTTTTGGACCTTCTTCCATGCCTCAGATGGCAGAATTCTTCAAATAACTACAATAAAGTTATTGCTTAACTCTCCCATTCTTAGTCCCATGATGTTCGAGACTGTTGCATACATTCCATATTGGTTCAATTATGTTCTTGGCTGATTCTTGAAACAGCAACTTTTCTAGAGCTAAAATACAGTTTTAAAAACTAAAAATTCAAGGAGATTTGACCATTTTATATCTTTTACATATAACTGAAAATTCTGCAGTTATTTCAAATAAAAACCTAATCACGATTTTCTCGAGGATATGTTAAAGCAGAGGAGAACATAGAAAATAATGTCCCAACTTGTTTTTCCAGAACCTTCCTGATTGGAGGTATGGAGAAGTTGTTATCCTTTCACTCACCTGGTTTCCTGCCACAGAGATAGAAGGCTAGTCTGTCAGTCAGCTCATACTGTATTTCTACAAGGCGTTCTGCCAGCTCATGGTGCCCCCCTTGCCTACCAACAGAAAACAAAGTTCCATTTGTATTGCTCACTCTTCACGGGCTTTAGAATGGAAAAGTACAAAGATGCCTCCTTAGATACCTGAACAGTTTATTAAACATGACTTTTTAGAATAATCAAACTTTTTTTTGGGCAATGAATCACATATCATCTTCCCTCATTTAACTCTTTCTGGGATTTATGAATCATCTTTTTCAAGAGACAGTAAATTCTGGGAGGGCAGAGTTTTGTCATTTCGCCCATTTTATCCTCTGCGGAGCAGAGTAAGGTGCTGTGCAGTTAATAAAGGTAATTTGGAAAAAGAGGGAAAGATTGATCTTTAGTCATCTAAATTATATTCAAGACTAACCTATGGATTTACTTATTTTTCTAGCATTTCATAGTTAAAATTTTTCAAATTAAAAAAAAATTTAGTTTTACAGTGGGCACCCAGATGTCCACTACCTGAAACTTACAATTAGCATTTTACTATAATTGTTTAATCACAAATCTATGGATTTGCTTTTAAGTTCAAGCAATGACTAACAGCATTAAAAATTGAAGAATAAGTTCTGTAATTTTTTTTTTTTTTTTTTTAAAAGATGACCGGTAATGGGATCTTAACCCTTAACTTGGTGTTGTCAGCACCATGCTCTCCCAAGTGAGCAAACCGGCCATCCCTATACAGGGATCTGAACCTGTGGCCTTGGTGTTATCAGCACCACACTCTCCCAAGTGAGCCATGGGCCGGCCCTGAGTTCTGTAATTTTTTATACTCGATTTGGACTCTGACTATGGCTGAAATACCACTGTGTTGTAAAGAACAAAGTAAAAGACTGGAAACTAAGCACACTGATTTACAATTCTACCATTCCCTGACTTTGCCAGGCTGAGCTTAAACGTGTTTAAAATGTCTTCATCTGCAAAATAATAGAATGTAAATCTTTAAAGGGGTTAAATGTTAATCATACACAATTTAGCTACTTAACACCAAATCATAGCCAACATAAAAAACCTGAAATAGAGAAGTTGCAAAAGTAGGTCTCTTACCTTGCATAATCAACAGGAGTTTTCCCACTAGAATCTTGTGTGCCTGGGTCTGCTCCATATACTGCCAATAATTCAGCCTGTAAAATCTGCCCTGCTTTGGAGGCAACATGGAGTGGGGTATTTCCTTTTTCCTAAGAATCATTAATAAAAAATAGGCAAAAGCAAATTAAATAAACAAGGGCTACATGAACACAACTCACTTAGTTTAAATTTAATATCTGAATCAATTCATGTTTTCTTACAGGATGAAAGAAATTGGCTTGTGCACCCAAGGATAACAGTCTCAAACAGGTTTCAAGATTCCCTGTTCTCACACTTGAATGGAGTTGCTGAAAAACACACGAACAAAAAAGTATTTGTTAAAAGCGTATATAATGTACTAGAGCAGCTGGTAAACCACTTTAAGATATATGTTACATTAGTAACGCATATAACCTGTATTTGGCTCAGTAAGGTGGACGGAACTGTCTCTCCTTTGCTGGTCACAACCAGCCCTGGGCTGTAAGGTACAGTCAGGTTCATTTTACTGATGAGGAAACTAGGGCTGTAAAGTCCAGGTAAGTGGCACACCCAGAACCTGATTAAGCGGCAGTGTGAGGAGGTGGTTGTGCATGACTGTGAAGTCTGAGAGACCTGAATTTCAAACCATACCACTTCAAGCTTTGTGACCTTGACCTTGAGAAAGTTCTTTGAGCAATCTGAACCTCAATTTCTTTATCTCTAAAATACTGATAATAATGCTACCTATTCACAGGGTTATTTTAAAGATCCAATGATATAAGAGTGCTCAGCACTGAGCCCAGTATATAGGAAATGCTCAAAGAATACAGATGCTATTATATGTTTTTGTTATATTATATTATATGTTTTCATTCTTGTTGTTGAATGGAGGGTTTTAGGTCTTCAAATTCTACACTGTAAGCTACAGGATTCTGCTTTATACCATACCCTCTCCACAACACTATTCTTTGTATACAATGCTTTAACGAAGTCTTTCAGGGTGGAAAATAGACCTGTGGTATACCAAGTTCTGTATTATTACAGAAAAGCTTTTTTTTTTTTGGTGGCTGGCTGGTATAGGGATCTGAACCCTTGACCTTGGTGTTATAACAGTGCACTCTAACCAACTGAGCTAACCAGCCAGTCCCAGAAAAGCCTGTATACATTAAGAAAACGAGCTGCCTTCCTTCAAGTCTAACCTAGAATTGTCTAAGATGCAATAACCCTTATCACAAGGAATGGAAAAATCTATTCTAACATCTACATGCAAGTCTCATTTTTTTTTTTTGTCTTTTTCCGTGTCCGGCAATGGATTGCAACCCTCAGTGCCGCCCCCGCACCGAACCAGGGACCGGCAACGGGATCGCAACCCTTGGCGCTGCTCCCGCGCCTCGCTCAGCCAGTGAGCGGGAACCGGTCCGTATGTGGGATCCGAACCCTCGGGCGGGAGCGCCGCCGCGCTTCCCAAGCGGCGCACTTATCCAGTGCGCCACCGGGCTGGCCCCATGCAAGTCTCATTTTTAAAAATTTTGGTAAAAAAAAAAAAATCACATACCAAGTCTTATTAATTAATGGAAGTAACAATTATATACATTTCTACGCAAAATTAGAATTATGAATTTTGACTGCCCATGTTCTGTGTGAATAAGCATTTGTCAAAAGCTTTGAAAAAAAGGGCCGGCCCGTGGCTCACTCGGTAGAGTGTGGTGCTGATAACACCAAGGCCAGGGGTTCGGATCCTATATAGGGATGGCCGGTTCGCTAACTGGCTGAGTGTGGTGCTGACAACACCAAGCCAAGGATTAAGATCCCCTTACTGGTCATGAAAAAGACAAAAAAAAAAAAAAAGCTTTGAAAATAAAGATGAGGATTTCTCATGGCATCTCTCAAAAAACATGCCAAGGCCCATATAAAGCAAACCATCTACTTATTTTATATGTATAATAAACAATTCTGTGTACTACAGCTTTCAGTCACAATGATTCCTGAAGATACTACTTACTATGCAACCTGGAAACCTGAAGAAGTTAACCCTCTTCCTTTGGTACTTTTTCTAGCCCTTATTGGAAACAAACAATTGTCTGGCAAACTATCTAGTCCCTTCTAGAAACAAACTCTGAGATGGTTCTTATTTCAAAGTTAAACAAAAAAAAATTTTTTTTGAAATACATGTATAATTTTAAAAACCATATCAGAAAAACACACTTTTCTACATATTTTTCCTCTTTGCCCTTGTACCTCCCCTAACATGAATCACAGCCATTAAGATTAAAGATGAAACCAATTGCAAAACAAGCTGTTATTAATTATTTAAAATAAGGAAATGAGTTTTTGTTTTTCTTTTTTTCTTCTTTTCTGACCTTTTTTCTTTTTTCCAAATAAAACAATTTACTATCTCATCCAGCTTTTTTAGGGATTTTAAAAAAGTGTGACCCACCTTACTAAGATCTTTGGCAGTGACACTATCATCATCCCGGCAGGGCAAGCGATGGACAAATGCTAACATCTGATACTTGGCTCTGATGAATTCTGCTTTATTGGGACTGGTTCGAAAACAAAAAAGAAAAGAGTTCACTCACAGTTCAGATACAACATTCCCCATTCTTCTACTGTAAAAGAAGAGGAAGTGACCCATATCCCCCAGTCAAGAATAAAACGAACAATACTGAAATAAGTTTCAGCAGTGTTTATGACCTGAAGTCTGAAAACATACATTAGTCATTATAATGGCTAGGACTGCAGAATACTTGCTTTTTATAGTATCTTTCTTCTCTGTGTAATTTTCTTAATTGACCTGGCAACCTTGAGAGGAAGCAGTATTTAGTCCCATCTTCTAGGTGAGGCATCAGGCACACTGGTGCTCAGAACCTAGATTTCTGGTCTGACTGCCTCTTGTTTGAGCACCTAAGTTTAAACCTGATTATATCAACAGGTCCAAGCCTTGGTCTTTAACTGGACAAACCATTCATTCCTTGTAACCATGCAAAAGAGATGGTCCCACCCACCTCATTCTGCATTTGTAACAGTAAAGGAACCAAAACACAATTGGGTAACCCCCTCCTGTGCTGCCCTTGTGGAGGCTGATCAAAAATAGGTACATTCCTTTCTGTGGGCCCCATTTGTTATGAAGAAATAAAAGTATTTATAAACATTCCACTCACTGTACTTTATCCTGTGGGTTAGCTTTACGTCTTCCACTCATAATAGAGGCAGGGTCCAGCAAAGAATGCTCCCATATAGAATTAGCACCATTATTATACAAGGTTTCAACCATCTAAAACCAAGCAGTATGAAATCAGATTTAAATTTCTTTCCACAAATATTCAATGGGAGTCAGTGACCAAACTGGGAAAACAAAGCCCCATTACAAACCCCAACATGTTTGGGATATTACTTATACCATTGCTTTTGATTTTAGAATGAGAAAGATGAACCTGTATGTAGGATTCAGCTTTGACCAGTAGGACAGCTAAATACTAAACACGTCTGACTGTATTGTTCTTATAGATTATGAAGGAAGAATACATTTTAGAGCAGTGTTTTCCAAGCTGGATCAAATACTATTTTCTTTTTTTAAAAGATGACCGGTAAGGGGATCTTAATCCTTGGCTTGGTGTTGTCAGCACCACGCTCAGCCAGTGAGCGAACCAGCCATCCCTATAGGGGATCCGAACCCGTGGCCTTGGTGTTATCAGCACCACACTCTCCCGAGTGAGCCACGGGCCAGCCCGGATCAAATACTATTTTCAAGATTCTTAACAACTCATGTACTGTCTACACTATTCACATAAGTTTTTCTTTAAATTCACTCACTTTTTAAAACTTTTATTAACAATTATGGTTTGATGTGCTAGTTACAGTTTTCTTATAGACATTAAAATAATATAACCTTTAAAATAAATATTTCAGTGTTACCGACTTCTACCTTGTGTACCATTGGTGATTCATGTACCAAACTCTGTGAACTGTTGCTTTAGGGTCAACCCCGGCATTCTAAACTACTCATGTCTGGACTACATTCAGATTTTGTAATATACTCTGGTTTTGTAAACACAGAAAGACTTGAGAGCAGTAAATACCCCCTTTCACATGAAAATGAGGTGTTAGAAATTCCTAAGAAAGAGTTATTAATAAACCCTATCTCCTAATTTCATTTCAACGCATGACTCTTCAAATGGCCCCATCTGTTTTTTACATCAGCAGGTACATTTCCACATCAGAGATCTAAACTCACTTGTTTTGGTCCCCAGGATCACACAGGCAAATTTAAGGGATATGTTGTGCAGCTGCCATAGATTTAGCGAAATATGTACTCAGGACAAATGAAGGCAAAACAGACACTTAATCCTCAGTTCCAAGAGAATTTGAAGAATGTGTACCCCCAAATAAGAGTATAGGTAAAATGACATTGGACCCCAAATAAAATAAAGAGCCCACTTAACACAGTGTTAGGCACACAATCAAAACATGTTAACTTCATTCGCTCTCTGATTAGTAACAAGAGCATTAAGAAAACTTAAATCAGATGTTACAGAAATTTCTGAGGGCTCCCAGTCCATGCTTCTATCAAAGCAGGAAAAAATGTTCGAAATATATTAGCATAGACTCAGAAATAAGTACGTCAGTGAAAAGTTTCTCAGGCAGCAGCTTTCAGAAACATTCATCATGGTACATGTTAAAAATGGACTATATAAAAACAATTTCTGGTGACAGCCTAGAAAGTCAGTGGTAAATATTACCAAGAAATTTAATGACCAGATATCTACCTATGTGTAATTGAGCTTTTGGGACAAGATTTATGTGAGGAGGGGAAAAAAGCTTTTAAATGATGAATTAAATACAGATAACACTTATATGTAGCATTGATGGGCATGGCACCTCTATTCAATTATGATTCAAACATTTTTGTAAGACTTAAGAAGTATACTAGATGAAATTTAGTTACTAAAACAATGAGCCCTAAAACATAAGTTACAAACCAGGAGAAGAATTCTAGATAACACTTATATGTAGCATTGATGGGCATGGCACCTCTATTCAATTATGATTCAAACATTTTTGTAAGACTTAAGAAGTATACTAGGTGAAATTTAGTTACTAAAACAATGAGCCCTAAAACATAAGTTACAAACCAGGAGAAGAATTCTTGTCCTTTACCTGAAGCAATGTTGGAGGCCATGGCGTGTGTCTGAGATGCCTCACTTGGGAGATATGGCGCCCTAGACTCCGATGGACACTGCAGCACTCGTCACATATAAAAGTTCCCCTATTTACTGATGCCCAGGATGGATCTGGAAAGAGAATGAAACCTTAGTGGTGAGGACACCAGCTGGTTGCTGTACTGCCAGATGGCAAAAGACGATTGAGGTTTTGTTTTTCAGAAAAACAAAGACATTTTTGTTGTTTTGGAATGCTCATTAACATATCAAGCTGGGGACCTTTTCTGATGTTACTACCTACCTTGTCAGATTAGGTACAATGTTAATTGAGATCCAAAATAGGAGCTGAAGCTCTAAATAAGTAGTTATCTTCTTTCTGTTTCAGAGCCATAATGTGAATCTACCATCTCAGATGCATGCTCTTTCATTTAACGTAAGAGAAGCAGATTGAGAGGATACTGATGAATCATTTCGAATCATATGATTTTGACAGTGAATTATCCATGCAGCATTATCTGAAGTAAACGTTGAAAAGACTGCTGCCCTAATTCACTGCTACAAATCAACATGCCTATATGCTTAGCAGAAAGCTAAGAGTGACAGAACTATAAAATCGCTCAGCTACTATGGTTCTGAGGACAAGGAAACCTGGCTTCCTCCAACAGGAAATGTTCTACGATAGCCACTTGTTTTAAGCTACTAAGTCCAATTCTGCAACTTATCTGAAAGAACAGAAGCAAAGACGTAAAATAAAAATAAGTAATATTTTTGGTGTGTATATAATACTTTTTTCCCTTTGAAATCTCACAGAGCTTCATTATACATCTTCTGAAACAAGGAATAAGTCACACTTGGTAAGCAGGATGGATCTGGGTATGTAAACGGAGCACCTGGAAGCCCCAAATAAAGAAAGACCTACATTTCAACAGACTCACAATGCAGTGACAATAGGTGTCACTCAAGCTGCCTATATTTTTAAATTCTTCAATGTCCACAAAAATCTCTAAAATGCATGTACACTATCTTTACCATTTTTTAACAGTATATTCAAACCCTTTCAAACCATATATTGAAAAGTTATGGGATTTCAATCAAAGACAAATCCTGGGAGCCAGAGAGTGGTGGTTAAGAGGGTTGGCTCTGGTGACAAGAAGTCCAGGGTTTGAACCCCAACTCTGCCACTTCTTGCACAATGATCTCAAATAAGTTACTTCTTGGAGTATCCTCACCATGGGTCAAATGGGAATAATAACACATCTCAGGGTAGTGAGGATATAAAGATAAGTAAAGCACCTCTTAAGTACTCAGTAAGGTTAGCTGTTAAATCTTTTCTAAATCATTTTCTAAGTATTATTCAGTTATTTTCAAGAGTCCACTGAAATTCATGATAACTGGCAAAAATTTCTGACTGGAAATATAACTCAATTCAACTACTGTACATTATGAAAAGCAAAGATTGGAAACATCAAGATGAAGCATCCCTGCACAGATACATAACAAATTGCTTTCTGCAGTATGGTACTACTACTACTAACATAAAAGACTGTTTGGAAGCATAGCTTTTGTCTTCACACATCATTCAGAGGATTCACAGTATTCTTGAAGGAAATTAAACAGGGACAAGACAGCAAGGATATAACACATTAAGCAAGCTTCTCGCTTAATCACTTTAACATCATGAATCAGAATTCTTTTTTTTTTTTTTAAAAGATGACCGGTAAGGGGATCTTAACCCTCGACTTGGTGTTGTCAGCACCACGCTCACCCAGTGAGCGAACCGGCCATCCCTATATGGGATCCGAACCCGTGGCCTTGGTGTTATCAGCACCGCACTCTACCGAGTGAGCCACAGGCCGGCCCATGAATCAGAATTCTATGGAGAAAATATTAGAATGTTAACACAGTAAAATCAAAATTGAGTAGGTACGAATGAGAATTGAGTGAAATCCTTCCAGTTTATCTGGATGCTTTATGCCAGTGGTTCTTAACCTAGGCTCCACAGACACCATAAATAGACTTCAAAAATGTCTGTGATCCCCTCTCAGAAATCTCACGTAAATTCTGTATGGTAAGTACAAGCGCATTTTCTGGGCAGAAGGCCTTAGCATTCATTAGAATCTCAAAGGGATCCCTAACCCTACAGGTAACTATTTCACTACGGCTTGGCAGAAAAGGCAGCACAAATTCCTAGCTGCTCAAGTTCACAGAACCTTTCAAGGTAGCTTAATTATATTCAAAACAGGAAGGAAGTGACTCAAGTCTCTGTAGATTAGGCATACCAGACAACAACTAAAATGATACAGTGGAAGAGAAAATGTTCTGAAATGCACAACACACTACAAAAGTTCAAGATAGTATTCAGGGTAGCAATGGAGAAGCAATTTTCCTTTGCTCTATATCATCCATTGAGAAGTGAAGAATATGCATTCTAAGAGGAAGTTTGAAGCTAGACACGTGAATCAAACACATTGCACAGAAAGTTCAACTGAAAATAGACAAGAAAATAAGGAAGTGGAACAAATAACATTTTTAGAGAAAATGATGGAGTCTGTATAACCCACACTAACTTGGCTTATAAAACAACTTTTTAAAAACCCTTCTTTCCCCCTCCCTATCTTTAAAAAAAAACTGGTACCACCACCTGCACTATACAAGCCATGAAATAACCACGTAAGGTTTGAGTTATCACAGCACTATTTAAAATTAGTATTCACCTCCAAATGTCAAGATGAAGACTAGAACACTTGCAAAGCCACTGGTGTTCAATGGTTGAATTAAGATTGTTTATTGGACGCTATCGTGGCAAGGAAGTCATCTTACCTTTGAATTACTTCAAACTCAACGCTGATAAATCCAAGTACTGAAAAAAGCATATAATAATCTATCCAGAGACCTGTCAATTCAGTTTCAATTGCTAAGACAGATCCGATCTCTAAATCAGGGTACTAGACATGGGAGGAATGGTTTTGGACTTTCAATGCCAAATATCAGTATGTTTACATTGCCAGTGATTTTGTTGTTTGTTCAGTTGTAATTAATTTATGATTTAGAAATTCAACTCTAGCTTTAAGGGACTTCAAGAGTTCTGTATTAAGTAACATAATACAAAAAAAGAATGAAAAAACTTAGATGAGATGCTCTTAATATTCATTGAATCTTTCTAACTACTGAGGGTAGATACTCCCAATTGTCCCCATCGGAAAAATGAGGAAATCAAGGCTCAGCAAAGTAAAGTCATCAGCCCAAGGTCACTCAGAGGCAAAATCTAGTTTGAACCCAGGCCATTGGAACCCCAAACTTGAGACATGCATTGCCTCCTAAGTGCTAGTTATGTTTGCAAGACCCCGACCTCCTGGGGATTCTTCCGGGTGAAGCGGCTGTCGGGATGTCAGAAGCGGGGAAGTCACAGGGGCCCTCTGGCGAGCCTCGGGGAGGGAAGCCCGGAGTGTAGCGCACCCCACGCAGGGCCTCCTTGCAGGGCGAGGGTCCGGTAGGAGGTGGCACCTGCAGTCTCTGGGGGCCGCGGCTGGGAAGACGTTTGCATTTTACTTCTGTAATTGGCCTTCCTGCGGATTGACCAAGCTCCTTCCTGTTGGGGGTGCGGGACCGGCCCCCGCCGCCTCCAGGACGGCCTCGGACCGAGAGAACGAGAGAGAAGAGAGGGACGAGAAGTACGGGAGCGCGGCGGCCCCCTACCCGCCCGGCTCTGACAGGCCTGGAACGGGTCCCGCCTTAAGGCCATTCCGGGGCCCCTCTTGCTGTGACCCCAGGCGTGGGCTGCAGGGCTCTGCCGCGGGAACCCCCCCGGCCCGAGGGGGCGGCCCTGGGGAAGGGGTCCGGGCCGGGAGAGCAGAGGGGATCGGGCCCAGCCGGTGCTACTCACCCGGCCCGCTGCAGTCAGCGCACACCTCACTGCTCCGGAGCCGCTTCGACATGGTTCCCGCCTCCCACCTGCCGGGAACTAGGGGCCCCGAGACAGCTAAGGCGGCGGCGACGGCAGCGCTTCCGCTCTAACGGGTCCCCGCGGCGGCGCTGGCGGCGGCGCCTCTCCCTGAGCGCCTCGCAACCGCGGCGCAACACGCACGCGCGGGGCGGTGTCCTTCTGAGACTGGCAGGTCATGTGACCGGAAAGGGCATGTTGCCTTGTCACCATCTTGAGTGAGGGCAGGTGCCTACCCCAGCGTCGTCTGTCCTACATCTCTAAATCTTAAATTTGGATCTCCCACTCTGGAAGAGATTCGCTTCGTCTCAGCACTGTTTAATACCAGGGGAGCAGTACAATCTTGTAACCAGAAGTCTGCAGCCACAACCTCCCGGAGGCAATCAATGGTTAAGTCAAGTTCATTCATTTATGCCTTTATTCAATAAATATTTATTTTGTACCTGCTATGTTCCACACACTGTTCCAGACACAGGAGAAACAGGAGTGAGCAAAGAAGACAAAATTTCTAGTCTTTATGGAACTTATAGTCTACTGGGGGTAGATCTACACTAAATTAAGTGAATAAGATTAAACTAGATGATTACTTCTTTAGGCTGCAGTTTTAATCTCATCTTCCAAATGGAAATAATGTGTTGTCTACCTCTAGTCTATAATTTGTTTTTGTATGGCCTTCTACCTAAGAGTAATCTTTACATTTTTAAAGGGTTGTAAGAAGAAAAAGGAGAACAGAGAGAGGGAAAGACAAAAAAGAGAAAGAAGAATATGCAACAAAACTGCATGACCAGCAAAGCTAAATATTTACTGTCTGGCTAAGGACAAATGGAATAAGTTATGGGAAAATGTGGTATGCCTGATCCTTAGTAAGCCCTCAATAAATACAGCTTCTCTTATTATTGATATTACTATTATTTTCCAATTACTGCTTTTGTTCATATACTTGGAATTTGAGAATAAGAATAGCTAACCTAGAGTAATTTATAGGATGGTGTGAGATTAAACACAATGAAATGAAGTTAATCAGTGTGGAAGAGAAAAGAGATGTGACCCTAATACTAATGAATATTTATTGTATGTGTTACATATAAACACAGATATGATCTCCATTCAGCAAATCATTGAGTGCCTACTGGGAACCAGGTACTAGTATGGTTTTAGGTACTCCGCTAAGCAGAACGGATGTGGTCCCTGCCATTGTGGAGTTTTTGGACGAGTGAGATAGGAGAAAAGGTCAATAAACATAGGATGATGAAGAGGAAGAAGATTAAGTTGCACAAATCATCTTAAAGAATGAGAAGAGCCAGAAGAGGACTCAGAATCACTGGCCTTGGGTCCATCTCTCCAGTGTGATAAATGTGTAATGTGGGAATAACCACCTAATTCCCACACATTCCACAGTTAGAACCTCCGGGTGCTATCCTGATACTCCTACACATTGTTTTGGTTCGACAACTCACAAATCTTCTGGGCTCCACATGTGTGGAGAATGGATTAGGCTAGGATTCTTGAACAGCTGTTGTTGCAGGCATCTGAAAAGCTGAATGTGCATAAGCAGAGAATGCAGACGGAATGTTTTCAGGATGCATTGAATAACTTCTCCCAGCTCTGTAGTCTTGTAGACAGCTGAGTAGAAGCAAAAGCAGAAAGCTCAAGCTGGTGAGTAGTTAACTTGGTTCTTCATTGAGTCAAGAAGGCAGAGTGCCTGGGGTTGAAACCCAAAGGATGAACTTCATATTTGCAGAATGTGGTCAAATCTGGATATTATATACAAGTATTAGTTCTTTCAGCTATAACCCCAAATCCAAATGGCTTGCTTAAAAATGACACTTGTAGGTGGCTTTGAATGATAACCCAGTTTGGAGGAATTCAGACAGAACAGTGTTTCTCAACTGGGAGCGATTTTTCTCCCCCAGGGGACATTTGGCAATGTCTGGAGACAAGTTTGGAGGGTGCTACTGGCAATGAATGGGTAGAGAGGGCCAGGGATGATGCTCAACATCTTACAAAGCACTGGACGACCCCCTCACAAATAATTACACAGTTGGAAATGTGCGAGGTTGAGAAATTCTGATAGATCTCCTTATCATGCAAATATTTGAAGCCACTTCTGCAGGGCTTAAAGTTCCTCTCTTAAAATTGTTTGGAGTTGCCCATTTTCAAAATGGCTTCTGACCAATCCTAGAAGGATCTGCCCTGGTCCAAAAAGGCTGCAAAGGAGTCAGTTGCCGGAATGGTTTTGTCCAGGCCCCTGCTGTCACCCCCTGACTGCAGAACCAATGGAAGAGGCCCAGTTGTGGACCGAACCACCTGGGGTCGCTGAAGAAGGGGGAAAGAGGCTGGTGACGGGTGGACCGAGTTTTCCACGTCGAGATCCAGGGCCACGGGAGGGAACCACAGCTCTGTGTTTTATGCTTCACCGAGTTTCGCGGTGTGGAGTTGGAGGTGGGTGAGACTGAGCGGCCCCCGGGCCCGGTGCCTGGCCTCGCCCCCTCCCGCCGCGGCGTGCGGTGGTTCGCCCCCCCGCACTTCCCCGTTTGGGGCAGTTCGCCTGCAGAAGTCTGTTCGCGAACTGTCAGCTCGGGAGGGAGCGCGGCGGGGCGCGGGGTGGGCGCGGCCGACCCGGTCTCAGACCCGGCCCGCTACCCCGGACCTCCCGCGCGCCCCGCACGCAGCCCGCTAGGCCGCCCGGCGGCGTCCCTCGCTCGTTCGCTCGCCGTCTTGTCCTCTCGCTCACCGGCCGCCGGGTGGGCGGGCGCCGGAGACCCCGCCGGGGCCGCGGCTTCTGGCAGGCGGGCAGCGAGGCCCCGGCTGCGGCCTCCTCGCCATGTCCTCGGCCTCCGATGCCAGCGTCCACTTCCCCCTGCACCTCCTGGTCTGGAACAACGACTACCGGCAGCTGGAGAAGGAGCTGCGGGGCCAGGTGAGGGCGGGGCGGGGCTCTCTCCGGTGGGGGCTGGAGGGGACGGGTAGGGGGTCGTTTCTCTTCCCTGAGCTCATTTCCAGTCCTCTGCCCCGGTGCCCCGCAGACCCCTTCAACTTTGCGGTCGTTGGACAATAATGCTAATAGGACGTTTATTGAGTGCTTACTGTGCCAGACCCTGTGCCAAGGGCTTTTTGTACATTATTTCTTAACCTTTCCAATAACGCTGGGAGGTAGGTACTATTATTATTCTATTTGACAGAGAAGGAAACTGAGGCTCTCAGAGGTTACCTGCCTTGTGCAAGGCCGCTCATACCAAGTCGGGATTTTAAATCAGGACGGCTGACTCCGGAGGGCACCGTCTTAACCACTATTAGGCTCTGCTGCCTCCAAGACATAAGAACAACAGACATTCTTGTAAGGAAGGGCTTGGTTCGTTTTGGAGTCCAGGTTCTAACTCACCCTGTGACCTTGGGCTAGGTATTTTCCCCCTCTGGGTCACATTAACTTATTTGTAGAATGAGGATGTTGGTACTGATGTGAACAAACCCAGTTCTTGACTGATTGATAGGTCTGGGCAAGTCTCAGGAGTTCCCCAGGGAGACTGAAACATAGTCAAGTTTGAGAATCACTGGTGCTCAGGCTCCTTAAAATCCCTTCCTGTTCTAAAGTGCTTTGATTCCTTGTCTTTTATTTATTGCCATGTCTTTAAAGCAGTGGTTCTCAATTAGAGGTGATTTTTGCCCCCCAGGGGACATTTAGCAATGCCTGGAGACATTTTTGATTGTTACAGGTGGGGACTGGGTGCTCCTGGCATCTAGTGGGTAGAGGCCAGGGATGTTGCTTAACATCTTACAGTACACAAGACAACCCTCCACAACAAAGAATTATCTGGCCCCAAACGTCAATAGTGTCTTGGTTGAGAAACTGTGCTTTAAAGGTATCCCAGCAATTCTGGGAGGTATGGGTTACAGGATAACAAATTTAGCAGTTAGAAAAAATTTGCAATTACCCATGAAATCTGGTGTAATTGTTCTTGGCTTTATTCCTTTTATTCAGTGTGTTAAAGACCTGGTTTTTGAATGGTTCAAAATTGACCCTATAATTGTAAAGAAAATTTAGAGGAAAAGGAGCATTGATTTTCTTTCGGTTAGCAAAAATCGAGCAAGGACAGCATCACCATGTTTGGTAAACGATTACTGCTAGGCATGTCCTTGCAACCTGCCATATTTATTTTAAGTTGATTGAGCACCCATGGGAAGTCGAAAGTCCCCTTTTTTCATTTAAAGAAGGATTCCAGACAGAGTACACTTTTATAAGTCATTGTTTTAATTAGTTGAGACATGTTCCTAGACCAAATGATTCACCATTAGGCCTCGCAGTATACCTGATGGTTTAATTCCCTCTCTATTACCAGACGTGGCTCTGAGAGAATCCTTCACCATTTTACTCTTAGCTCTTTCTCTGAGTCTCATCTATTATGCTTAAAAAATGACCAGTTCCGGTTTTTAAGCATCTGCTTCTTTTTGCACCTGTACTTCCTTAGTACAGTGGCTGCCCAGCTTGCAAAATGTTGAAAGTACAAAGAAAGTACCAGAATTAAAATCCTATTTCATAGAGAGGTTCATCATTAAACCACATATTCTTTCAATACTGATGTATGAAAACAGTGGGCTTTCTATTATTTGAAAGTGAAGGAAAGAGTTTAACTGCTTGATAAGATAAGAACAAAGTCTTGGCTTATAATCTGAAGTGTGACACAGTTGAGTTAGCTCTTTTTCCTGCAGCTGTAATGAGAGTGTTCATTGAGAGTTCTCTGTGCCTCTTACCTTGAAAAACGTTAAGGCCATTTGTAATTAGGCAAGTATAATTTTGCAGCACATTTTCCTGGAGTAAATTGGTCCTTAATGCCTTTGACTAACAGGGAGGTCAAGGAAGAATTTTCATACTTGGTAATTATTTGGTTTTGACTCTGTTATTGGTTGTCACTGTGAATCATTTCACGGTATACCAGTTTCCTCTGGCGAAGAGACAGTTGAAGTGTATTCGTGGAGAATGTCTTGACTGTGGAAGCTTGACTGTCGTGACAATTTCAGTCCCGAAACTTGGCCATTTATGGGGTCAGACAGGGCTGGCTTCATGGGCATGAGACCTGTGCAGTTGCACAGGGCCTTGTGCTTGGTTTAATGCTCTGCTTCTACTGTCTTGAAATTCTTTACTATTTTTGAATAAGGGTTTTTTGCATTTTCATTTTTCTCTGGGCCCTGCAAATTATGTAACTGGTTCAGGGTCAAGAATTTGATAATTGATATTATTAAGATACATGGCAGGAAGTATTTTGTTGCTTTCATATTTATCTAGATCCTCTGTTAATTTTGCAAAACAGCCACCCACCTCTGTGGCATGGGGGCATTTGGGTTTGATGGCCAGCACTTATGCTGATTAAGTTGTGAGCCTGGGCATGTTACTTTCCTTTGCTGAATTGTTTCATCACGTGTAATGCCAAAAGCTTATTATTTTGCTAAGCCCCACACTGAAGTGTATTATGTGCAGTCTTAGATTTAATTCTCACACCAGTCCTCTGGGGTGTGTGCTCCTGTGAGTCCCATCTTACAGATGAGGAAACTGAGGTGAAGAGGCTCAGTTGCATGCCTAGCCGGTGGCTGAGCCAGAATTTGAACCCAGAAAGTTGGACTCTCTCCAAATCCTGTATGTGTGTATTTTTTTTTTTTGCAAGAAGCTCAGAAAGAAACTAATATTTAGTTAGCATCAACAATTCATTCATTCATTCCAGAAATATTCATCGAATACCTACTACATTCCAGACACTATTCTAGGCTTTGAGGATGGAATGATAGCAAGTCATACTAATTTTCTGTCCTAGTGGAGCTTGGAATTTTGTGGCAAGAAACAGAATAGTAAATAGGCAAATGAGTATGTAATTAACATAAATACAGATTGTGATTTATATGAAATCAACTATATATCTAGATATTGATATATGTAAATATAGATATATATGTATAAACCTACATGTCTATGTTGATGTATATAAGTATATGTATGTCTTTATCCATAACATATTTTATCTATATAAAATCACATTGAATTATCACAGAAGATCATAGAACACTATTCCCTCTCATTTTGTAGATGAGGCTCAGAAAGGTTAGAGATCTTTCCCAAGGTCAGACAGATGTAAAGATCGGAGCCAAGATTTGAACCCAGGCAGTATTCTACTGGTTCACCAAGTTATACTACTGAGCTCCCTGGTAAGGTGGGAAAGTGGGAGGTAGCAGGGAATGGGATTGCCTAGAATTGATAAGAGTGGTCCAGAAAGACTAACAAAAAGGAGCAAAGTACCACAAAGTCAAAAAGGGGCAAAATATCACAGAACCAGAAAGGGGAAGGAGTTCCTGACTTGGAAAATAGGGGGAGGATTTGAAATTTTCCTTGAGAATTTCCAGGCAAATCCTGTATTCTTAACACCTCTGCTATGCTTCTTTCAGTAACAAAGCCTGCATGTCAGGATTGTAGAGGATCCGAAAGATAACGGATCTGAAAGTGCAAGCATGTAGTAAATGGGAGTGATACCATTGAGAATGAATGAATGAATTGTTGATGCTAACTAAATATTAGTTTCTTTCTGAGCTTCTTGCAAAAAAAAAAATACACGAATACAGGATTTGGAGAGAGTCCAACTTTCTGGGTTCAAATTCTGGCTCAGCCACTGGCTAAGCATGCAACTGAGCCTCTTCACCTCAGTTTCCTCATCTCTAAGATGGGACTTATAGGAGCACCCACAACAGAGGATTGGTGTGAGAATTAGCTGCTGTTAATATAATCATCATTTATAAACCTGGGAATCTAGCTTCTTTTATGTATGATCCAGTTTTTCTATGAGAAACATGTATTGGTTGCATAATTAAAAAATTTCTATCACCCAACAGTAAAACGAGCTGTGAGCCAGTGAATTTCTGCCATCCACTCCTTCATTCCTTCCATCACACGAGTGAGTCTCGAGGCAGGCACACTGGTGGTTGTAAGAATTTTATTTTGTTCCAGGAACAACAGTACTAAAAGAATCAAGTTTATCCCGATGAAGAGGATAAGCACATGTTCCTGTGTGTGTGTGTGTGAGAGCCAGCCCAAGCACCACAGTCTGGCTAATAGCTGGTGTTTGTGTAACTTTGCCATCTATGAGATTGACCTTCAGCATTTGTTCAGCAGTGCCTCTTAACCCATCTTTAATGTTCAGTGGGGTCTTGATGTTGGTTGTTGAAGTTGAAACTGTGCTCTGGTTATGTTGCTTAACTAGAGAGGTCTGTTAACCTCCTTTGGCCTTGAACGCCTTGAAGGGAACAAGGAGTGCTTAAGGGGACAAATGCAAAGGTGAGTGTGTGCACCTTAAGCAGGGTAGGGAAAACCTTGGGACTGGGTGGGGTGGAGGGTGGTAGATGAGGCCTGATTCCAGAACCATCCTGTTAGGAAGCCAGCAGGTGAAAGCACAGCACCCAGGCAAGAGGAAGAGAACATTCCAGACAGCTGCAATACCTGGAGCCTGCCAGGGAACCACCCGGGGTTTTTCCGCCAGCCTGGTGCAGCCCAGGGGAGGCCCCTGGACACACATTCAAGTCTGTGCCTGTTAGCTGGAGGCCTGCAGTGAGCCAGGGGCTGGACATCCAAGACAGAGAGCCTAGTTCCTACTCTCAGTGTGCCCCCTGAGGCCATCAGGACTCAGGCTAACCGCAGGAAAACTCAGGCTAACCGCAGGAAACCGGCCTATGCAATATCTCTTACCACCTGACTTGGGGTGGGGGCCACAGCCGAGGAGGACCAGGGTGTGAAACAGTGAGAGTGGCTGACTGTTGAGAGAAAGGAGGGGCTAGTTGTTAGCCTCTTGCTGGAGGGTTCCCCTTGTACTGCAGAGGTAACAGTGATAGTTTGTGGAGCGCTTATTATGTGCTTGGTACCTAACCGAAGCACAGAAGGGTTAATAATTCACCCGAGGCTATGAGGAAGCTGGAAATGGGGCGCAGGTTGTCTGGCTCTGCAGCTTGCCCTCGAAGCTTGGCCGCTTACTGCCTCTGGAGGAGTATGGCAGAATGGTAAAGAAGGCTTTTGAGCAAGAAAAGTGGATGGGCTTAGATTAGCCAATAGGAAGATGTGCAGAAATCTTATTCCTTGTGTTCTTTTGGGACATTCATAGTTAAAAGGGGTAGCTATTTTTAATCTGATACAGCTCATGGCTGAAGAAACTTAAAGGGAAGACCTAAATGATCAAAAGTGAATTCCAGTTGAATTCTGAAAGCCCTTGCTTTCTGAACTATTATCATCAGTTGAAGATCCTAAGCCCCACTATTAACTGTAATACAATTTAAACAAATCCGTTTTGGGAAGAAAGTAACAGCTTATATGAAATTACATAGTGTGGGTGTATGATAATGAGAACTAACCTTGTTAGTGCTTACCGTGCTGTTGAGCATTGTACTAAGTTAAGGCCTTTACCCTGTAAGAACTCTAAGGTAGGTGTTTTTTTTTGTTCCCATTTTATAAGGGAGCAAACTGAAGCTCAAGAGAAATTAGGCAACTTTTCAAATGGTATATAGATGATAGATTAGTTTCAGGTATTACATATAAACACATACATGTTGATTTTTTAAACACCTTTTTATGTTAAACATTTTTATTGATGTTTAATGTTCACTTATCCCTTAGTCTATCCATTTAAAGTGTACTATTCAATGGTTTTTAGTATATTCACTGAGTTATGCAACCACTGCCACTGTCAAGTTCCAGAACTTTTTCATCACCCCAGAAAGAAACCCCATACCCCTAGCAGTCATTCTGCATTTCTCTCCAACCCTTTCAGCCCCAGCTAACCACTAACCTACCTTCTGTTGTAATAGATTTGCCTATTCTGGACATTTCATATAATTAGAATCATACAATATGGCCTTTTATGTCTGGCTTCTTTGACTTAGCATAATGTTGTGGTTCTTCATTCCTTTTTATGACTTAATAATATTCCATTTTTATAGATACATTATATTTTGTTTATCCATTTGTCAGTTGATGGACTTTTGGGTTGTTCCTACTTTTCGGCTATTATGAATAATGCTGCTGTGCACATTTGCTTGTAAGTTTTTGACTGGGTATGTATATTTCATTTCTCTTGGAGAGGAATAGCTGGGTCATACATATGGTCTCTCTGTGTTTTACTTTTTGAGGAACTGCCAACTCTTTTTCCTTTTTGTCTTTTTTTTCGTGTCCGGCAACGGATCGCAACCCTCAGTGTCGCACCGGACCGGGACGGCAACAGGATCGCAACCCTCGGTGTTGCGCCCGCACCTCGCTCAGCCAGTGAGCGGGAACCGGTCTGTATGTGGGATCCGAACCCTCGGCGGGAGCTCCGCCGTTCTCCCAAGAGGCGCACTGTAGCAGTGCGCCACCGGGCTGGCCCGCTGCCAACTCTTTTTCAAAGTGGCTGCACTACTTTACATTCCAGTTTCTCCACATTCTTGCAACACTTATTGTCTGTCTTTTAGATTGTAGCTATCCTAGTGGGTGTGAAATGGTATCTCACTGTGGTTTTGATTTGCATTTCTCTAACAGTTAGTGATGTTGAGCATCTTTTCATGTGCTTATTGACGAGTTGTACATCTTCTTTGAGAAATGTCAGTTTAAATCCTTTGCCCATTTTAAAATTGAGTTATTTGACTTTTTATTGTCGAGTTATAAGAGCTTTTCATGTATTCTGTATACTAGGCCCTTATCAATATATGATTTGCAAATATTTTCTCCCATCTTGTGGGTTGTCTTTTACTTCTTCCTTTCCAATATGGATACTTTTTAGTTCTTTTTCCTGCCCAATTGCCCTGGTTAGAACCTCTAGTGGGAGGGTAATTCAAAAAGGTTCACAGAAAGATTCATGTTATCTTTTGGTTCTGTTTTTCCACATACTTTTTGAAGTGCCCTCATACAATGTTGAATAGAGTAGTGAAAGAGGATATCTTTGTCTTGTTCCTTATTTTAGGGGGAAAGCATCGAGTCTTTCACCATTAAGTAAAATGTTAGCTATGGGTTCTTCATAGATACTCTTTGAGGAAGTTCCCTTCTATTCCTAGTTGGTTGAAAGTTTGTTTTTGTTTTTGTTTTGTATCATGAAAGGGTGTTGGATTTTCTCAAATGCTTTTTCTGGGTCTGTTGAGATGATCGTGTGTCTTTGTTTCATTCTGTTCATGTGGTGTGTTACATTAATTGATGATCAGATGTTAAACTACTCTTGCATTTGTAGGATAGACCTTACTTGGTCATAGTATATAATAACCCTTTTTATATGTTGGGGAATTTGGTTTGTTCATATATTGTTGAGGATTTTTGCCTGTATATTCACAAGAGATATTAGTCTTGTGTTTTTCTTATGATGCATCTGTCATCTGGATAATACTGGGCTCATACTGTGAGTTGAGAATTTTCCTTCTTCTTCTATTTCTTGGAAGAGTTTGTAAAGAATTGGTATTAATTCTTCTTTAAATGTTGCATGGAATTTACTAGTGAAGCCATCTGGGGCTGCTTTTCATGGTGGAGAGTTTTTAAATTACTGATTCAATCTTTTTGCTTGCTATAGATTTATTAATATTTTCTATTTCTTCTTGAGTCACTTTTGCTAGTTTGTGTCCTTCTAGGAATTTGTCTTTTTTATCTGTTATCTAACTTGTTGACGTACAGTTGTTCACAGTATTACTGTATAATCCTTTTTATTTCTGTAGAGTTGGTAATAACATTTTCTCTTTCATTCCTGATTTTAGTAATTTCAGTCTTCTCTCTTTTTTTCTTGGTCAATCTAACTAAAAGTGTGTCAATTTTGTTGACATTTTCAAAGAACCAGCTTTTGGTTTTGTTGATTTTCTTTATTGTTTTTCTTTTTCTTTTGGCAGCTGGCTGGTATGGGGACCCAAACCCTTGATCTTGGTGTTGAAACACCACATTCTAACCCAGCTAACCAGCCAGCCTCTGTGTTGTTTGTCTATTTTCTGTTTTACTCATTTCCCCTCTAATCTTTATTCACCCATTGTTTTTAAATCATATTCTCACTATAATATATTATATTTTCTCTCCCCTCATTTCAAGTGAGAAAGGGACAGGAGGCTATGAAGAGTTATAATTAGTTAAGCAAAATGTGCTGCTCTATGGCTTATACACATGTTTTTTCTATGGTCCAAAATAGAAAAAAGTTAACAACTTAATGTATTTGGTTTTTATATTGTACATCATATCTGACCATTGCCTAGGAGCTTGAGTGTTAATCCTTAGTCTGAGATGTTAGTTTTGTTCTGGGGTGTGAGTTGCAGTAAGTAGAGTTTCTCCTTTCATGTGATAAATATTGTTAAGCACCTCTTCTATGGCAGGCAGTGTGCTAAACCTAGCACCTTTCACGGGGATTGAATTTGTTGCATAAGAAAATGCTTAGTTTATATAATAGATGTGTAGGAAGATAATGGGTTTGCTAATTATTTCTTTCTTGCTAAACTTCAACTGTGTTCATAGCTTATAAATTCATAGCCTTGTTACTTTAAAGAAGACAATTATTTAATGCAAGTTAGAGACTACGGTGGTGGAAGCTGGGAAATATAAGATTTGGATCCCTTTGGAATTTTCAGTGTCTTTGGTGCAATGAGCAAGCCATACCCTTGGGAAAAGTCAGGGCATCTGGGAGGTGGTGTGGACCATGTTCCAGGGGATACAATGGTATTTCAGCTCCTGGGAGGTCCAGGAGGACTTGTGTTCAGCTAGCAGAATGTCTTCAGCCACTTTTATTATTCCTTGATAACGGTTCTTATCTTCGCTGTATGATAGCTATGACATAATTTTAGCAAAACAAAGAGATCCATTCAATAGCTATTGGATTGTGTTTGTTCATTCACAGTCCTGCTTCACTTTCCCGTGGCACATTCTGTATATCTGCGGAGACTGCAGTTAGTGCCTGGGCAACTTGCATCTCAAATGAAGATAAAGCATATTTTCTAAGAAGTATTATAGCGTTTAAAATGCTTTTACATTCCAGAAGTCCCATGGCAGTTTATTGTGTCCTTGGAAGAACTTTCAGAGCTGTGTTTTGCAGCAGTGCCCAGTTATTCAGACTTAGCTTACACCAGAGAAACTGCTGCTCGGTTCTGGAGACCCAGTGTGGGTACCAAAAGGAAGACCAGAGCAGCAGAATAGGAATAAAGAGATAAAAGCCAAATATGTATGTCTAGCATGGAGAAGAAAACCCTCAAGGGCATGGCCTGAAGTGATGTGTGTGTGTTCTTACATTTTTGTATAAATATATCTACATATATGCCTGGCATCTGTAAGACCTGCTGGTGCTACTGGATTTTATGTGCTACTTCAGGGCACTTGTAACTCAATATTCAGTATTGAGAGTGTTGTTTCGGTGGGAATCCGTCTAGAGAATGTAATTTTATTTTGACCCAAATTATCTTTTGTACTTTCAGTTTTGATCAAAGTCTTGCACTTCCTGTTCTAGACTTGAATGCCGATATGTGCTTCAGAAATCCCCCACTTTCCATGTCATACTGTGTTGCATTTCATGAAAGCTCCTAGCCTTATTTAGACTGAATTTGAGTGCTGTTGAGAGGTTAAAGTTGTGTTGGATATTCTGAGGCCTATTGCGAATGTTAATTTATTAGGCACTTAACTTTATAGAAAAGGAACTCAGTAACTATCATCTTTATTTATAGTCCCCAAATTTGTACTTTGTGTCTATATGCAAACATAACCTTTTACATATGTTCCTGTAATGAATGTATAAATATTGTATTCTATTTTTTGTATTTAATCTATTTCTCAAGCATATTTCCATGTTTTCATGAAATATATCCAATGATATAGATGCCTGTGTTTATTTCACAGAATGTGGAGGCTCTGGATCCACGAGGTCGAACATTATTGCATCTTGCTGTTTCTTTGGGACATTTGGAATCGGCTCGAGTCTTGCTTCGACATAAAGCAGATGTGACAAAAGAAAATGGTCAGGGATGGACAGGCATGTATACTTTTAAAATAATTTAAAGTCATTAATTTTGTTTTTTCTTTCTGAGTAAAGGCCAGTCTCAATCATAGTTCTCAGAGTCATCTTTATTTTAAGACTGTTCCTCTCTTGGGACTGGGGTGGGTGCAAGGAGCTGGAGCTGGGATGCAGGCTCCCCATGTGCAGTACAATGGCCTGAATTGTACTCATCCTGAAACAGCTCTCGGTGCAAACTCTTCCCACTCTACATGAGTGTGAAGACAAGTTCTACTCCGGGAATATGGTGGTAACTCCACTGAATCCATCACGATAGGCAAAAATCAAAAAGAAATTATGGCTAGAAATAGCTTCTTCCAGTAAATCCTGGCATTTCACTTTTATGTAAACTTTGTTACTGTTGGTCAGAGGAATTTTGTGTTGACTGAGCGAGGATACTCATAAGCATGAGCCCTGCCTTCCAGATCTACATGTCACCAGAGTTGTGTGATTGCACAGTTAAAGCCAGCTCTCTGAAAATGTTGGCAGGATATCAGAACCAGCAGTAAGAGGGGGGGTAGGGGTACGGTGGATAGGGTTTGATCAAGAGGCTAAGAGTGCTCTATTTTCTTTTTACTCAGTTAAGAGCTAGCAGTCAGAAGTCATGGTAATAAACGATCAGGTTGGACTCTCTCCCTCTTTGAAGAAAATGTTGGTTTTTGATCTGTACAGATAGTTTTCAGACTGGCTGTGGAATTTGTCAGAAAGTATGAGAATACTTGGTGATTAAATTTCACCCTTTTGTTTTCCAGTTTTACACGAGGCTGTGAGCACTGGCGATCCCGAGATGGTGTACACAGTTCTTCAGCATCGAGACTACCACAACACATCTATGGCTCTACAGGGAGTTCCTGAGCTGCTCCAAAAAATTCTTGAGGTATCGATAAAAATGTGGCATGCCGTAACTTGAACTAAATGCTGATAAAATAGCTGGAGACATAGTTTGATATCCTTGTGTGCCTTCCTAAAGCGGTTTATGAATAGTGAAGACGATGTATTGAGTACCAAATAGTGTTATTCCTTGCCTTTCCAACTTATTGAATTTTGGGGTCTTTTACAAATTACATTTCCAGATCACTGGGCCTACCCTTTTAAGTGTTATTTAAAAATTATAACTTGGCCGGCTAGTTAGTTCAACTGAGTAGAATGCTGCCTTGTAACACCAAGGTCAAGGGTTCAGATCCCAGTACTAGCCAGCCACCAAAAAACACAACAAAATTTAAAAAAAAACTTAAGGAAAATGGACATTAATCACAATTAATTTGTCTAAGTGCTTGCTTTCTTAAAAGTAGCACTCTGAGCATAGGTAATCTCAAGGAAGTTGTAATGAGCATCATTACTGTGCAGGAATGTTGAGGGCCTGTTGAGGTTCAGAGGTCTGTATGTAACTTCTCCTTGTTAACCATTACTATTTTATGGTTTCTGATCCATTGCCTTTATTTATATGCAGCTATTGGCTTTGGGCAGTTTATTTGTCTTACGAATTAAAGTGAATGAGCACTATGACATTCAGAGGCCTTTCTTTTTTTTTTTTTTTTTTTTTTTTTAATAGGGTTAAGGGGATCTTAACCCTTGGCTTGGTGTTGTCAGCACCACGCTCAGCCAGTGAGCAAACCGGCCATCCCTATATAGGATCCGAACCCGTGGACTTGGTGTTATCAGCACCACACTCTCCCGAGTGAGCCACGGGCTGGCCCCCAGAGGCCTTTCTTAAAAACATTTACTTCTACATTCATGGATTGTTTTGAATAATGTTTGCCATTCCTCAGATAATCTTTGTTATTTGAGAGAACAATCTTATTGGTAAACCATGTGCAATATTCCCAGGGCAGCAGGTGACAAGAAAGTATCAGTGGTTCAGTTTTCATGTTGTTTATTTTCAATTTAAGCACAGAAGCGAGCTCCCCCAAATATCTATAAAGTTATTTGCTAGATAGGTTAGCTTTACAACTTTAGTTAAAACATAATTTGTGAGAAAAATTAATAGCTAATGAGAAAAGGAGCAACTTTTTTATAATTATGGCAATCATTGTTCATTATTTGAGCACTCCTTTTAAAAAAAAAATTTCTCTGACACTTAAGCTAAATCATGCCTAAGATATTCATTTCCCATGTACTAAAATGAAACTTCTCATGAAATATGAAGTAGTTGCATGCATTGTTTTAAAAATAGGTGTGTATTTGTGAGTGTGCAAAGATCACATGGATTATTGTTTTCTTATCTAACTTACTATAAGAGGAAATAAAAACATCATTTGCCCATTTGACAAAACAGAAAATGACTTATTTAACATGGGGTCACAAAATTTAAAAATTCAGTGTTAAGGATTTTCTTTTTTTACCTGTATTAATCCATAACAGTGGACTGCACTGAATTGTACTCTCTGCTTGAAGTTATAGACAGTCCCAAAATGACCTGTGTTCTTAGTGGCACCAGAGGCTATTGTTGATGTTTTGTCTTTCGACAGTGGCTTCTTATAACAGAGCCAGCCTATCTTATCAGCCACCTCTTGGAGGTTATCTTTGCCCATCATTGGAATCCTGGCTGGTTTTACTCCAGGCTAGATTCCTGGTCTACCTGCCTTGTTCTTTTGTTAAAAACTATGGCAAAGCCTTGAGAGTTTGAAGGAACAGAAAAACACCTGGAATCTCTAGAATTTCTCTTCTGGGATGGAACTGTTGAATTTCTTAAGTAGCTCTTCAAGAATTTTCTAGAAGAATTGATGGTAGATAAGAAAATAATCCTAAATATGGCTGCTCTGGTTGTGTAAAACCTCAGGAAGCCAAATTCTAAAAGTTTAATAGGAAAGTGGGGCAAAATCTTCTGTTAACTAGAGGGAAAATCCACTTCCCAGGGAAATGATGTCTAGCAGCCTCTTTTAGTTTCACAGTGTGGCAAAGCACTTCCCAGCGCACAAAGCCTTTTGCAGTCAAGTTCCCCATAGAACAGATGGAATTGGCATTCCTTGTCTTTGCTCAGAATAGTCTGTTAACCACAGTGGTGGCAGTACTTAAGGCTGTCTTCCCAGGCTTGTCTTTCTGTTACTGTTAGTAACCTGATTGAACCCCCAAGTCAGGTTTGACTTATAATTATCCCCTTCCAATCTTGTTGCTTTCTGTTAACTTTCTTAACTGTCTGGACATAGTTTATACCAAGGTAAAATAACAGCCTGAATATGAAATAAGTGTTTATTTCAGTGAGTTTACTCTTTTGTTTCTTCTTATTTTCTCTGTTCTCCTTTAATTTTTTAAAAACCTTTTTAATCCTTACTGTGTTTGTGTCTAGTTATTAATGCCAAGGGTAATCTATTTTAAACCATTGTCTGTCCTTCAGGCCCCGGACTTCTATGTGCAGATGAAATGGGAATTCACCAGCTGGGGTGAGTGGCTGTAGGCTTGCCATTTTTTTGTTTCTGAATTTACTTAGCCTGAATGTAGGCTTATTTTTTTTCTTTATAAAAGTTACACGTATTTTTTTTTTTTTTTTTAAAAATTTCCCGTTTTTTTTTTTTTTTTTTTAAATCTAGGAAATGTATAGAGAAGAATGAGGAAAAATAATCACCTCTAGTCCCACTTCAACACAACTACTGTTAACACTTTGGGTCTTTTCCTTCTAGTCTTTTCTTCCATGCATAGGATCTTTCCCCTCCAACATTTAGAAATATAGTATATGGACAGTTTTGTCTTCTTTCATTGCTTATAGCTGACCTTTATCCATATTAATAGTTTTTTTCTTTCTTTTTTTAGGGGCTGGGTGGCTGGCCAGTATGGGATCTGAACCCTTGACCTTGGTGTTACAACACTGTGCTCTAACCAACTGAGCTAACTGGCCAGCCCCATATTATTTGCCTTTAAAATGTCACTTTAAATTGTTAAAATTTTAATAAGTAGACTTACTATAATTTACTCATTTCCTTATGTGGTTCAGCGTGCTTCTTTTTAACCTGTTATTCTAAGGAAGAAGATGAGGTGAATATTGGAATTGCTTATTTTTTACAAAATGGATGTATTTCTCTGAAGTATTATGTAAGGCAATTGACTGACAGTATATTCATAGAAGTTCTACTTTTATTTCTTGTAGACCGGTTAATGATAACTCCTAATTCCCAGGGTATCAGCCATTTTCATTTCCAGACTTCTCTTTCAGGTGGGAAGTCATATTTGTAATGAAACATGTAAACAAGTAAAAAGAATATAAAAGAAGAGAACTTCAGATTGTTCTGAGAAACAAAGGAATTCTTTTCTAATGCAGATAATCACTCTGATTTAGGTTTTGTTAAAAAGTGGCATATTTTAGACATTTGATATTTTGAATGGTGTCTATGACAATAATGGTAGGCCCCTGCCATATGGCCAGAGTAGCACATGTGAATAGCAGAGGCCAGATAGATGTACTCTAGAGCCCTGGTGGGGGTCAGTCAGTGGGGTTCATTTCGGGATTGAGAATACTCTTGGGAAATTCGTTTAGAGTTTTCTCTGAACAGAAGGTCCATTTTTATTTTTTAAGAGCAACTTCCTTTATAGTGAGCATGGGAGCCAAGAAGTCCAGTCCTCTTTGATGGTCACATCTCACTACTTCTCTCCTTTTATTAAAGTCGTATCCTGATTTCTTGGCCTGGGTGTTCTGCTTCACCCTTGGGTTTTTCTCAGTAGTACACTTCTCTCCTCCAGTGCCCTTGGTTTCCAGAATATGCCCAAACGATGTCTGTCGCATCTGGAAGAGTGGTGCCAAATTACGTGTCGATATCACATTGCTGGGATTTGAAAACATGAGCTGGATAAGAGGAAGGCGTAGTTTTATTTTTAAGGGAGAAGGTGAGTGATTCTGTTTTAGTAATCACTGCTCAACGTAAATTACAGAATGAATTTTAACCGTCAAAGCATGTTCACATTCTTGTGCCTTATCTGTCTGATCCTACCTAGGGCATTTTGTTGTTGTTGTTATTTTTATTAATTATTCAGCTCTCCATCTCTATCTTAATTCTTGTCTGGGTAGTTCCCTTGCACATGTCATTTACCACCCAAAACTGTTACCCTGTGACACGTGTCTGTCTCACTCTCCTGAGCCCTTGAGTACAAGCCTTCTATTGTGTATCTGTATATTCTCTCCATAGTCAGGCATGATATGATCTTCCTGAATGGAGGGTAAGAAATGGCCTTGCTCACCCAATGTTGTGCATAAATAATTTATATTAATTCTGTAATAATATATTTTATAAAGGAAATATATGAAATGTGTTGCTAGTAAAGAGTATGAAATATTTTAAAATTCTGCGTCTTTGGGGAAGATGGCCCAGAGCCTCCTATGAGTTGTGGAAAGCCGGCCAGATAATCCCTGTGCAGGTAGGTAATTGATAATCTGTACTCTTTATGTTTTATCAGATAGTGCCTGGGAGGAAAAATTTGAAAGATGATGCATTTCAACATATGAGGCTTCCTTGTTTTTGCGTCTTTCTTGCATTGTGCTTAATTATGCCATTGTTTCCAATAACAGACAACTGGGCTGAGTTGATGGAAGTCAACCATGATGACAAAGTGGTCACCACTGAACATCTTGACCTTTCCCAGGAAATGGAACGCCTCACTCTGGACCTGATGAAGCCAAAAGGCAGGGAGGTTGAGAGGCGGCTCACAAGCCCAGTCATTAACACCAGCCTTGACACTAAAAATATTGCCTTTGAAAGGTATGAATTGAGACTCCAAATTTTAATGTCTAATCCCCCTTCTGCCATCTTTGGTGATGTGTATGTATTAATTAGAAATTATGGATGGATTGGGATTTTTCTAATGTGGGTGGGTTTTAATAGTATTTTTATTTAATAGTATTTTTTCTAATACTAGGGGGTTTTAAGATTGATATCCACTCTAACCAAATAGAAACCATAGCTGACACCCTACACTGTCTGTCATTTTTATAGCATAGTGGTTAAGTCTTGGAGAAATGTTTTCATATTCTTTTATGAGCCCTTTCTAGTGGATTTTATTCGAATCTTATTTTTCTTTTGGTATTTGTGGATCCACAACACTCCCTAGTCCCAAACCATAGAGTTTTGAGTTTCCAGAAACTAAAATTGACCCAGTATTGAATTTGATTGTACGATATTAGTCAGTCAAATTCACACTTGCTATATAGTTAAACTTGGTTCTTTTTCTCTCCGTGAGGCCTAATAGTTTAGAGCAAAAGTCTGGAGGGGGTTCAGTTCTGTTCCAGACTCAAGAAGAATTCTTTGCAGATGTCTGTGTCTTGGTTAATCTGGATGAGAACACCGTCACTAGTCATCTGTCTCTGGGTCACACAGAGGGCATAGAGGGACTTTGAGTGTAAGGGAAGTAGAGGCTGTCATAGCTGTTAGCCTCAGTATTTCTACTGTGGACACACTGAACCTGGGGAGTCCAAAGAGCCAGAGCCCTTAGAATTTGCCTAGGATTTCACATCCAGCTCTCTGTAATGAAAGTAACATAACCTGAGCTAAAATGGACACTATTATCCTGGATTTAGGCTTTTTTTCTCTTGATGAATATACTAACTGCCCTCTCTTTTTATTTTTCTTTTCTTCTTTGTTTCCAATGTAAAATTAGTTAATAAAACTGAGGGATTTCTGTTCATTCAGACATAGAACTTGTTATATGCCCTTTTCTTCTAATTTAGATGAAGCTCTGGAATTTAGGGTATCTGTAGCAGAAGAAAAAAACTGAATGCCTAGCCTGTGTAGTGTCCAGGTGCTGCTGCTACTGCTTTGGTAGGAGTAATAACATCCCTCAAGACAGGATCAGTTCTCTCTCGCCAGCCTTCTTGCACTGGCCTAGCCAGTTGACAGCTGTTGTCTTCCAGGGACAGCAAGGTTTAGGGACTGACCACAGCTTTGTCTGGAAGGGTCTTAGAAAGACATGTCCAGGCTTCAGCGTACTCCTCTGCAGACAGGAAGGGTACCTTCAGCTTGGGACTCTGTTCATGATGCTGCAAGATGAAAGAGGCCGCCACCACTGCTGCAGCCCTTCAGCAGCAAGGAGAGTTGGATAAACTGAGTCCATCAGCAGAGCTTTGGGCGAGTGGCCTAATCTCTTCAGTGTTCTGTTTCCTTAGCTGAAAAAATAAGGGGGTGAATCTAGAGATGAAGTCTCTGAAGTCTGAGACTCTAAGATGTCATGAGAAGGGCCATTGTTCCCTGTGCAGTTCATCAGCAGAATTGCTAACGTCATTGTTTGTTATTAAGTGTGATTTATGAAGAGAAGGTGATGATTACTGGCTGTTACCCACTGTGTATAGATGGGAATGATAGCACATTCCATTTGTACTGAGGACTAAGGCATGTTTTGTATTTGTATGGCCACAGGGTTTTCAAGTTGTTTAAGCTAACTTTCCTTTTGCAACTGACAGTGGGTTGCTGAGAGAGAAGTTGTGGAAGACAGCTGCTTTTTTTTGTGGAGCTCAGAATTAAATGTGTGATCAGCGAGCTTGTCATGCATTGGGCAGGGATTTGAGTCACTCTTGTGTGTGAGCATTGCTGGTACAAAAAGTGCGCACATCTTCTAACCAGATGTGTGAGTGTTCATTTGACTGGATTTGGAAGGTGTGGCTCTCCCTCATTTTAGGATAATCACTTTTGTCCATTTCTTCCTTCTGGTACTGGGAGCTTGATGCTTGTAAATTAATACTCTCACCAGATTAATTTTTGGTCTTTATGTTCTCTGGTTGTAGTTTGGATTTTTTGCCTTTCTGAAAGATTATGCTCAAACAAAACACTCCCTGCCACCTTCAGAACCTTTCTCAAAATTGTGTTGCAGCTGCCTGGACACAGTGCCTGCTAAGTGGCCTTGGTATGGTGGGCTCAGTGGAGACAGGCAGAAATGAAAAGGCACAGGAAGGCAGGGTGTTCTGTCATCTTTAGATGCCTCTGCATGCAAACTTTATCTAGAGCCAAGCAGTCATTAGGATCTTGGTTTCAAAACAGGGAGTAGATGTTGAGTTTAATAACTAAACTGGTGTCAGAGTGTGGAAATGCAAAGGGCAGCAGAAGGCCAGGGCTGCCAAGAGAGCAGATGGGGGAGTGAGCATCTTGGTGGTCTCTCAGGAGAAGAGCAAAGCCCAGACTTCTCAGCACATGTGAAGGATGACATGCAGCAGACAGCCATCCTTCAGTCCCTCAGAAGCCTCTGTGCTAGGAAACGATGATTTCCCATGCCAAGATTATCAAGAAACTTTTTTTGTGTGGCTGGCTGGTATGGGGATCTGAACCCTTGACCTTGGTATTACGAGGTGGCACTGTAACCAACTGGGCTAACAGGCCAGTCCTTAAGTGACTTAAGCAGAGAGGAGGAACTGAGGATGGAATGAAGGGAAATATCTCAATTTTCAATTATTGATGACTAAAGGGGACTGTGGCTTATTAATCAGTCAGATGTGGTCCCTAATCCCCCTGACAATTATTTTGTTTCTGAAGTATAAGTCGGAGATGGCATTTGGTGTAATCTCTTTAGGATTCTTCTCTTTCCCTCCGTGGGCCATGTTGTGCTAATTGCAGACAGCTCATAGGAGAATGAGAACTCTGGTTCCTCCTTTCTCTGATGGGCTAGAATACACACATAACCTCATTACATGCCATCTGGAATGATTTCATTTACTAAATCCCATTAGAAGAAAAGCAAACCATTTAGAAACATCACAATGCAAATAACAGCATATGTTCTTTGTGACTTGGCTACCCTGCTGCCATTCCCTGAGCTTCCTGCTTGACATCCCACTTCACTTGGGGGTCAGAGCAAAAGGCAGGCTGTTGCCCTCCACAGGGCCACTTGGAGCTAGGATGTGATGTCCTAGACAAATGGCAGGGCTGGTCAGGGCTCCCCTGTGAGTGGTACCATTTCCCAGGGTGAGCTGCTTTGAAAAGAATCAGAGCCTTTTGGCTGCTCTTGGTTCTTAAATATGACATTTTTCTCAGGAGTATGTTGAGTTGAAGAACTGGGATTTGGGGCACATTACCAACTCTGCAGCTGCTGCTGGAATGCTGGGCTACTTTAAAAGTAGTTCCACAGAGCTGGAATCAACAGCTGGGCTGGAAAACCACTTTTCATGTCCTTTCCCCTGGTGCACCAGACCTGATAAAACATGTGACTCATAAGCCATTCTGCAGGCATTAGCAGCCTCTCCAAGCAGCTCACCACAGTGATGAGCTCCTGCCCCAGTGCTCTCTTCCAGGTGCAGGATGGTCTGTGCCTCATTGTTCTAAGAATTCCTTGATTGAGATGTGGCTGCTTATGGAGATAGAGCTGTGACATCCGTGCCCACAATTAAGATGACCCAGATAAATGCTCTGACCCAGATACCACCTTGCAGCAAGCCCTTGGATGCTGGTCATCTTCACTCACTTCTTTAGGACAGCTGTCCAATAAATGTCCCCACCTTTGTCCCCCATGCTGGCAGTTTTTGTAAAGAAGCCAAGACTGGAGGCTTTCTATGCCCTGGATGAGGCAAATTGATTAATTACTGTGGGAGGGGGGTGGGGAACGCTTAAGCCATCTGTCATTGATAGCATCCTTTTGTGGACAATAGGACCAAGACTTCCAAGTGTCCTTCACTAACTTAAGCTGGGGGGAAAAAACTGTAAAGGCTGCAGGGATAAATCTGAATGGCATGTTGTACATGTAGAAATTTGTGGTGTTCACTTTTTATCAGAACTAAATCCGGATTCTGGGGCTGGAGGACAGATAAAGCAGAAGTTGTTAATGGTTACGAAGCAAAGGTAAAAGGAAATTCTTAAAATAAGATTTAATATAGCTATTTAGCTTCTATGCAAATGAGGAGTCTGTTCACATTTTCTCATGCATCTGTGCCATGAAGATGCTCTGGGGAATAAGTATACTATCTAATATATCTTTCACTTGGATTTTTAATTTTATCTTATTTGACTTTCAGAAAATGGGGTAGCATGTCCTAAGGGGGTCTCTAGCTATGCTGTAGAGAAACAATGTTGTACCTGTTGTCCCAGTGGGAATGACAAGCTAGTCACTTCTTTAAAAAAAGAAAAAACAGAAAGAATTGAATTTAACGTGCTTGTTTATCTTTTTTTATAACCTGAGTGGTTAAAAAAAATATTGTGTAGTTAGTAGCTCTTATGACTCTCTGTTTTTTAAATCAGCTTAATTGTAATCAATAGGATTGCAGCCTATTTTCATAATATACATGAATTTAAAACATAATTATAATAGTGGAGATGACTGACTGTTAATCAAACTATCTGGCATTTCATCAACTGGAAAGCTCTGTTTCCTGGCCTTTTCCTTGTCCTGCAGTATAGCAGGGATTGACGGCTCGCGGTGATTGAGCCAGGTGCTGCAGGGTCCTCTGGTGGCCTCTGAGTGAGCAAAGAAAGCTTACATCGTGCTCAGCAAGATACATTTAGAAACAGTCATTCTAGTGCTGAGTGTGTTCTCTGCAGCTTTGAACATTGGGAATCCACATATGGCATATACAGTTAATTCTCTGTTAACTATTGCATTTGATTTTCCACACCACCGTATTCCTTAGCCAACCTTGATAACAGACCATTTATTCTTGCAGTTATAATTTTTTGGCAATGTATGGAATACCTTATGATGACCGCAAATGAGTAGCTGTAGGTGATACAGGCTTGGGTACTCTAGTACAATAGAAATCCAGGTGGGAAACTGAAATTGCAGGGCATTTTTTGAGATTGTTTAGCAACAAGAAGGGCAAGTAGGAAGATGCAGCCTGTCACTGTTAACTCCTCGGTATTAAAACTGTCAAATACGGAAAATAACTGCTGATGCATTCCTAAGTTGATAGTTTGCATAATTTCCCTAAAGGATCCTAATGATTGTTAACCATTTTTCATTTTTATTTTGCTGGATTTTTTTTTTTTTGGCTTCAGCATTCTTGCTCTTGCTATGCTATTTTTTGAGTTTTGATTCCCCGTGTCATTGTTCTCTTTTGCACACATCTCTCAAGGTGTACACAGTAAACAATGTGAATGTGATAACGAAAATACGTACAGAACATCTGACCGAGGAGGAAAAAAAGAGATATAAAGGTAATCCCTCCCTCCCACCTCCTTTTTTTTTTTTTTTTT